AATCTGTGTTTGTGGATGAGTTACCAGAACGAAAACTTAAACTACTCCTACCCTGATCCCTACACATATTTTAGCAGTTCACATTCTCATTTTGTTCAGACAAGATTAAAAGAATAAAACATTTAACTTACCTAATAACGTTGCTCTCATGTGCTGCCTCCTTTGGCGATGGGTGGGTTCTGTAATAGTAAATCCTGTGTCCCAGAGATGAGGACAAGCTCAAGAAGGTGTTCAGGATGATCTGCCTCTTGTGCAAGGTCATGTGGCTCACTCACAGGTGGGACAGCTGGGTTCTCTGCTTGCAGCCACACTTCGGATGACTTGCGTATGTGCTGTTTCAGAGCCTCATTTGTTCTGTATCCCCTTTAGTTCTCTTTATCAGGTATTTCCATTTCTAAGTTGGGGTAAATGAATTTGTTGCATTTTTCTTTGCATGTAATCTGAATAACAATCGTATAGCTGGGGGCTGGGAGGTGGAGCATGGAATGAAAACATGGAGTGCCTTTTTCTGAAGATCCGGCAAGATGGCGGAAGTGAGGCAGAAGAAGAAGCGGACTTCCGAAGTTCACCTACCGCGGCGTGGACCTGGACCAGCTGCTGGATATGTCCTATGAGCAGCTGATGCAACTGTACAGTGCGCGCCAGCGGCGGCGGCTGAACCGGGGCCTGCGCTGCAAGCAGCACTCGCTGTTGAAGCGCCTGCGCAAGGCCAAGAAGGAGGCGCCGCCCCTGGAGAAGCCCGAGGTGGTGAAGACACACCTGCGGGACATGATCATCCTGCCGAGGATGGTGGGCAGGATGGTAGCGTTAAATGCAACATGATCCTGCCCGAGATGGTGGGCAGGATGGTAGGCGTCTACAATGGCAAGACCTTCAACCAGGTGGAGATCAAGCCGAATGGTGGGCCACTACCTGGGGAGTTCTCCATCACCTACAAGCCGGTGAAGCACGGCGGCCGGCATCGGCGCCACCCACTCTCGCGCTTCATCCCCCTCAAGTAGCCTCCTCAGCCAATAAGACACTTCTCTAAAAACCAAAAACAAAAAAAACATGGAGTGGAAAGGAAACCTGGTAAGGAAAAGTGGAGATCTGACAAGTTCTGTCTTTCCAAATACAGGAAATTGTGGGAATTATTGGATGAGAATGATCTAGTAGGTAGAAGACAGTTTTTAAAATTCCCAGGCTTGTTCATTAAGTGTTACCGTGAGCATCAGAATCCTTGGTGAGTTTCCAGTGAGTATAATTTTGAACTGAAGCATGGTCCTGTTCCCCATTTTGAATGGAGCTGCCCCTGATCTAGTGGAGGATCGATGTGTGTTTCTTGGCTTGCTCTGGCTTTTTTTTCCTGCAGAAATTAGAACCATTTCCTATGATTTTGTGATCACAAGGCCAACCTGGAAACTGTCAGTTCTTTTAAAGAAGCCACTCTTGAACTATTTTTGGGAACTGTGCCTCCTTTTCTTTGCCGGCTGAGTTCCTTGGGGACATGTTTCCATGCTTTGAAGATGGGTATGTTGTGGTTTCAGTGTGGGGCTCCAGAGTCAGGCTGCTCGAGTTCAGCTCCATCTCTACCACTTAGGAACTGTATAACCTTGAATAAATGAACACATTCTGTTTCTTCATCTATAAAATGTGGATAATAGTACCTATCTCATGAGTTTATTGTGAGGATTAAATGCAGTGTTGTGTGTAAAGTTAGAAGAACAGCATGCAAAGTAGTGCTTCTCACAGTGGTAGGCACACATTATATGTTTAGGTGCTACTATATTGTTATGCAACAACCAAAACATTAATTTGGACACAGCTTTTGTAAATGAGTGAGTAATCAGTTTGGGTAGCAGTATTTTTTGTAAAACACGAGGTTTGAAAATAACCGCATACTAATAATTCTCTCATTGAGTGCCTTCTGTGTGTTGAGTCCTGTGACTTAGTGCTGTTGTATATTGCTCATTTAATTCTCACAGCAGCCATGCAAGGCATGTTTTGTCAGATTCTTTTCCAACAGTTGGAGGGACCGTGCTAGGTCTCAAGTCAGCCGCTTGTTGATAAGAGCTGGTCTCCTATACATCTCTCGGGAGCTGGCATTCTCTTGCTGCCTTGTTACTTGCCCTGACTGTTTTTACCTGGGGAGCCAATGTTAACAGTTTTCTTTGCTTGACCGTAGTATTGGCTTACTCTCATAAGCCATGGTCTAGCGGGAGTAAGATTCCAGGAACATAAACCTTTTCTGGGTGAGTTAGTCTTTTTCTTTTTTTTTTTTTTTTTTTTTTTTTTTTTGGCGACAGATCTCACTCGGTTGCCTGGGCTAGAGTGGCCATGGCATCAGTCTAGCTCACAGCAACCTCAAACTCCTGGGCTCCAGCAATCCTTTTGCCTCAGCTCTGCGGAGCTGGGACCACAGCATGCTCACATGCCAGCTAATTTTTTTTATTATTTTAGTTGTTCAGCTATTTCTTTCTATTGTTTTAGTAGAGACCGGCAGCTCACTCTTGCTCAGGCTGGTGTTTGAACTCCTGAGCTCAATGATACACCCGTCTTGGCCTCCCAGAGTGCTAGGATTACAGGCGTGAGCACTCGCCCAGCCAAGTTAGTCTTTTCTATTGTCATAATTAATTAGTTAGGAGGAGGACCATTAGAGGGCTCTTGTCTTTTTAGCAAGGGTGATCACCTATTTCTAAGATGCTGCTCTTACCTGCCCCCTGAAGGTGGGGATGAGGCTGGAGGTGGCCATCTGTGCACTCCCTGCTGCACCCTCCGTGTCACAGTGTGTAGACTGTGTCTTCTCCCATCTGTGCCTCATGATGAAGCAGGTCTATGGCCCATGCCTGTGTCCTAGACTCCCTTGGGAAGGTACATGTGCTCAGTTATATATCTGCAGAAAGGAGATCCTTATCAGATATGATTGCAAAAATCTTCTCTCATTGTTCCAGTTGTCTTTTCACTTTATTTTTTTTATTTTATTTTATTTATTTATTTTTTTATTCTTTCTTTTTAGCTAACTACAGTGAAATGAAATCTTTTCACTTTATG